CACCCCCTGGGCCACATACAGGAAGGAGCACTCTGGTGGGAAATCAGATTAGAAACTATCCAGGACTGTTTTCTTTTAACCACTTCAATACCGGGCACTTTTACCTCATTCCTGTCCAGACCAGTTTTCAGCGCTCTCACACTTTGAATGACAATTGAGCGGTGATGCAATGCTGTATGCAAACAAATATTTTTATAATTTTGTTCACAGAACTATAGATTTCTTTTGCTGGCATTTAATCACCACTGGGGTTTTTATTTTTTTGATAAATAAACAAACTAAAATTTTTAAAACAGAACACGTTTTCTTTGTTTCTGTTATAACATTTTGCAAATAAATAATTGTTCTTCATAAATGTAGATCAATATGTATTCTGCTACATTTCTTTGGTGAAAATAACCCAAGTTAGTGTTTATTATTTGTATGTAGGAAAGTTATAGAGCCCACAAACTATGGGTTACAGTGTATCTGAACATTGATCAATCCTGATGTACTGATCACCAAGGGTCTAATTTCTTGAGGACCAAAAATGTCAGGACAGTTCAGATATCCCCCAAGTGACCCCTTTTTGGAAAATAGACAGTCCGAGGTATTTAGTAAGATGCATAGCAAGTTTTTTTAAATTGAAAATTTTTTTTGTCGTAATTTTTTGGAAAATGAAGAAATTAAAAAAACAAATTCACAATTTTTTTGAAACATACTGTCACCAGTGCAGTACACTATCATCATATAACTGGTGTGGTGGTGATCAGGGACACTGACTGGTGATGATACGAAAGAAAAAAAAACTTTCAATTTTTTTATTTTAATTTTTTAATTATTATTTATTAATTTTTTTTACTGTTTATTTTTTATATCACACTGTGACCAAAGTAGTATAATGTTACCATAGTAACATTGTATTACTCCGGGGAAGTGATCAGTATTTTATTATTATAATTTTTTTTCACACATTATGATTGCTTATAAAAAATGTCATTGCTATAAGCAAGCATTTAACTGAATGAAACAGATTCATTCAAGTTTTTTTTGTTTTGATTGGTCGTAGCTAATCACATGACACAGATGGGCTGATATTGGCCCAGTCTGTACCATGTGACCACTGTGACCAATCACAGCTAACAACACAATTGTATACAATGGTACAATGGATGGCAGGAAAGGAAGCCATCCATTGTTTACAATGGTCATGTGACCTGCTGTGATTGGTCACAGTGGTCACATGGTACTGTCAACGAGCGGGTACACAGATCTGTCATGGGCACAGCCGGTGACAGATCTCACCTCAGCACGAGGCGCAATCTGGGATAGACATATGACATTATATGACATTCACCCTGATCGATGAGAGGCCCATCCAGCCATCATTTTGCTATTGGCCGGACGGGAACTGTTTAAAGGGACAAGCACTGGACTCCCCTGTTCAGGAATTCACCCAGCACAGCTAGATAAAGGAGTATCTGGGGTCTGGGGTGGTACGATAGGAGAAGAGAAGCTGGCTAGCTTTCCAAAGAGAAGAGGATTTTTTTTCTGCAAAGACTTGTATATAGTTCCAGGATGTTGTCCTCAAGTTCCAGTTAAATTGGGCATCGCGTACACCCCTTACCCTATCCCAGTTCAAATACCCTAATAAAACATCAAAACAAGCTCAAGGACTGGCTACTGTCTCCTAGATGCAACAACTCCTCCTGCGCTCAGGAACCCAGATCCTTAGGAGACCGATGGACCAGTACTCTTGAAAAGTATGGAGATTCGTCCAGGACCGATCAAAGGCTGTGCAGCTCAAAATAAAAGCTGGGGAATCTCAGTACAAACTGTAGTGAAGAACAAAAAGACAGAGTGCAGCAGCCTTGCGCATTACCTCAGTAAACAGTTAATTTATTTATTGATTTAGGAGATATACTCGCAAGCATAATAGTAAAACAAGCATGTAAAGTCCAAAGTTGAACCACACAATAAGGAGTCACGTGTATCCCATCATAAGGGGAGATACCCAGAATGACTCTTACGTGTTTCGAAGGGGGATACCTTTTTTATCAGGGCTCCCCCTTCGAAACACGTCACTCTGAGAATCTCCACTTCTGATGGGATATGCACGTGTCTCCTTATCGTGTGGTTCAACTTTGGACTTTACATGCTTGTTTTACTATTATGCTTGTGAGTATATCTCCTAAATCAATAAATCCATTAACTGTTTACTGAGGTAGTGCTCAGGGCTGCTGCTCTCTGCCTTTTTGTTCTTCACTACTGTCTCCTGGATGCAAGTCTGTATGGAAAATGTGTGTTGCCTGGCTGTGCATGGCTATAGGGGGACCCAAACTATTGCAACTCCTAAGGGGGTATGCTACAATTCACACACTAAAATAACAAACAGACTCACAGTAGTTGGTAGGCTGATGACAGAAAACTCTTAACTTACTAGGATCCTTGCACAGCCTAAGCCAAAACCCAAAGGGTGTTCTTGTAGACTTGTAGTCCTCAACAGTTGCAGAGTCTATAGAAGGTGTGGGTAGGAAGGAGGAGGGCTAAAAGTAAAAGAAATACCAGGGCCATGACTGCAGGATTCCTCCAGTCTGTCGTTGCCTCCCTTCACCGGTAAGACTTTGTTTTCTGTGGACATCAAGAAATTGTTCCGGTATGTCCCCATTTCTCCAGTGCAGTGTTTTCAAAGTTCTGCTGTTGGGCCCTAATACCTGGCCCCTGTACATCAGCTTCTTGTCTGCACCTTGCTTGATTTTTAAGGTATTAGACCCAGTGTTAGCCCTGCTGCAGTCTTGTGACATCTACATTGTGTGATGACCTCCTGTTGAGAAACAATTGGCAGAGGCTCTGTTGGACAATGTGGCTTTGACTGTCCAGATGATACAGCAGATCTGGCAGATCCTAAACTATCAAAAATTATCACTCAAACAGACACAGCATTCAAAGTATATGAGTCTAGTCCTTGACACTCAGCTCAGGCCAGAGTGTTCCTTCCACGGGAGAAACCTTAGACTCTTTGGTCTCAGTTTTGAGATCTTTAGTCCTTCAACCATCCTACTCTTTCATGTGAGTCTTTTGCCTGACAGTAGCCTCCTTTGAGACAGTTCTATTTGTCCAGCTACACTCCAGACAGTGCAACCTTTTGTTGGAGTGGGGAAGCCCATCTGGCTGCTCAACAGACCAATTTGTTTTTTTACAAGGGCCTGGATGTTGCTGGCTTTTTGGCTAAGGAATCTGGCTCTGAAATCAGGGAAGCCTTTCCTTTTGTAGAATGCTCATGATAAATGACAGCCCTCCAGGCTGCGGTGGACTCCTGGTCACCTAGCTTGTGCAGGGGACTTTATCTTCTAAGGAGTCTTATCTCCCAATCAACATCCCAGAGCTTCAGGCAATATGTCTGTATCTGCAGTGTCAGACCATTCTACTTGAGGGTCATTCAATCCATATACAAATAATACCACAGTGAAAGCATGCATCAACTGTAAGAGAGGAACCAGAAGTTTCACCATGGCAAGAGAGAGAGGTCAGATCTTGTCCTTGGAAAAACTTTACATTTCAGTATCCTTCACAGTGTACATACCAGGAATAGACAACTGGCAGGCTGACTTGCTCAGCAAGCAGCACCTGGATCAGCAACAACCTGGACAAGTTTGTCTCCAGATACAGGGATCCTCCGATGGAATCAGTGTATGCTTTTGTGGATCCATGTAGAGGTAGTTTCAGACTATGAATAAGGCCTTTCCACCCCTGAAACCTCTTGTCATGTACTTCGTAGGAACAAGGTGAGGGTGATTTTCATTGCTACGGATTGGTCCAAGCAGATGCGGTACTGGTACACCAGCCTGGTAAGTCTCCCAGCGGACCCTCTATGGCAGTGGCTCTCAACCTTCCTAATGCTGCGACCCTTTAATACAGTTCCTCATGTTGTGGTGACCCCCAACCATAAAATTATTTTCGTTGCTACTTCATAACTGTAATTTTGCAGTGGGAGGAATAGTGCCCCATCATTGGTGTCAGTGGGAGGAATAGTGCCCCATCATTGGCGTCAGTGGGAGGAATAGTGCCCCATCATTGGTGTCAGTGGGAGGAATAGTGCCCCATCATTGGTGTCAGTGGGAGGAATAGTGCCACATCATTGGCGTCAGTGGGAGGAATAGTGCCCCATCATTGGTATCAGTGGGAGGAATAGTGCCCCATGATTGGTATCAGTGGGAGGAATAGTGCCCATCATTGGTATCAGTGGGAGGAATAGTGCCCCATCATTGGTGTCAGTGGGAGGAATAAAGCTCCATCATTGGTATCAGTGGGAGGAATAGTGTCCCATCGTTGGTATCAGTCAGTGGGAGGAATAGTGCCACATCGTTGGTGTCAGTGGGGGGAGGAACAGTGCCCCATCGTTGGTGTCAGTGGGGGGAGGAACAGTGCCCCATCGTTGGTGTCAGTGGGGGGAGGAACAGTGCCCCATTGTTGGTGTCAGTGGGGGGAGGAATAGTGTCCCATCATTGGTATCAGTGGGAGGAATAAAGCTCCATCATTGGTATCAGTGGGAGGAATAGTGTCCCATCGTTGGTATCAGTGGGAGGAATAGTGCCACATCGTTGGTGTCAGTGGGGGGAGGAACAGTGCCCCATCGTTGGTGTCAGTGGGGGGAGGAACAGTGCCCCACCGTTGGTGTCAGTGGGGGGAGGAACAGTGCCCCATCGTTGGTGTCAGTGGGGGGGGGAGGAACAGTGCCCCATCGTTGGTGTCAGTGGGGGGAGGAACAGTGCCCCATCGTTGGTGTCAGTGGGGGGAGGAACAGTGCCCCATTGTTGGTGTCAGTGGGGGGAGGAACAGTGCCCCATCGTTGGTGTCAGTGGGGGGAGGAACAGTTCCCCATCGTTGGTGTCAGTGGGGGGAGGAACAGTGCCCCATCGTTGGTGTCAGTGGGGGAAGGAACAGTTCCCCATCGTTGGTGTCAGTGGGAGGAATAGTGCCCCATCATTGGTATCAATGACACCAATGATGGGGCACTATTCCTCCCACTGACACCAATGATACTTACCTTGCTGACTCCTGCTCCAGCCTGGGCTCGCTCCCTCCCCCTCCCATCTACAGCCAGCATACCTGGCTGCAGCAGCACCATCTGCACGCTACAGACGCTTACCTGTCAGCTGTCTTCCTTCTCCGGCCGCTCCCTCGCTCGATCTTCTTTGCTCTTCGCTCTGCTGCTCGGCTCCTCTTCTCCAAGCTCCACCTCCTCGCTGGTGATTGGCTGCCTGTGTGCCTCTCCTGAGCTACAGTTCCGGCAGCCAATCACTGGCGAGCAGGCAGAGCTGTTGAGTGATCCCGGGGATGTGGCCAGATGACAGGGGCGGTATGTCATTCTGCGCACACATCGCGGTCCAGGGAAATGTGGATGTATCTGCATGTGGGCGGACCCGCCTGGAGACTGACAGAGGAGCGGTGTCTCGGTTCCTAAGACCATCGGAAATATGTGTTTTCCGATGGTCTTAGGAGACCCCTGTGAAAGGGTTGTTCGACCCCCAAAGGGGTCACGACCCCCAGGTTGAGAACCGCTGCTCTATGGCCTTGGCCAGGTTGCCAATACTTTTAATCCTAAAGACTGATTCACCTTCCTGTTTCATGGTCATTGGTTTTAACAGCAAGGCAGAAGGAACTCTAAACAAATATCTATATATCTTGCGAGCCAAAATATATCTACCAAATAACCACCTTAAAGCACAAATCTGAACAAAATTGTCCTTACTTCTAATGGATTGCAAACATCCAACACATAACTACCACTGTGTATACATATTATTTCACCAAAGTATGTTGCGCTCCTTATTATTTTATAATATCTCTTTAGTACTTATAACCCCCTATTTATACCCTTGAAATTTAATAATCATATACAAAGAAGTGATCTAATTACAAAAAAGAAATTGAACGTATGTTATCATGCCATTAACCAAAAATAAATATTCATATATAATAATAACTTAATATCCAAGAAATTAATTTTGATTATAAAAACCTCAATAGTTCATAATACTAATACATACCAGTGATTATTAAAACTAATTATTATTAAGCCAATTACACATCATTATTAATAAAAAATGTAAATCTCAAAAATAATTGTGAATAATCACTCATTTATAATTAGTGATATATAAAAAATGTCCCATTAATCCTAAAAATAGTGACTCTGTGCTATAATCTTCAATCCGTGACTGTTTGTGAATCCTCCAATTAGTGCAGATGTGCGCTCACCTCCTTAAATGCCTGCAATTAGGCTATATGCGCTTTCGGCTCACCTCCTTTGGAACCTGCTTGATTAAGACTTTTTCCTTTTTAGATTGGAATAAGGGGCTCCTTTCTCGTAGAATAGGGATATCCTTTTAACACTGATTATCCCCTCTGGGATTAATCCCTCCTTATGACGTTACAAGCCTCCTATATTATCCTCTTTATGCGTCTCTCCATATGTAGAAAAAAATTCCAAACATAGTGTTTTATCCTTTTTTAAAAATACTCCTTTATTCCTACCAAGTAGTACACTCACATTTTATGCGATCAATATAAAGCAATCTTTGTATGTAACGAATCCTCCGCTGACCGTTGAGTCATGCACCCGCCGTCTGTCAAACAATCCGGCTACCTCCGAGTGACGTCGCAGCCCCACCCCTACGCGTTACGCCACTGGTCACGTGGCTTCATCAAGGGGTTATGATAGGTCAGTTACTCTCCCATTGCCGGCTTATATAGCTCGGCTCCACCATTTTTTGGTATATCTACAGGGGGCAGCCATGTTTTTGGGGGCAATTTAGTTGTATTATCACTCTTTCCCATTGATACATTAGTTACACTTACTGCATTACTTCTCCCGGAGGAATACATTGTGACATGACTCTTCGGACTGCTTGGATTCAAACAATCTCTTTATATATATTATACTCATAAAACAAATTTATTCTTTGTATTTAAAAACGAACATTTTTAAAAATAATATACAAATCATCATACATAAAAAAAAAAATATATATATATATATATATATATATATATATATATATGAATACATACATCTATATATAATAATTAGAGATGAGCGAATCGAACCAGGCGAACCGGAATTCGATACGAATTTCAGGAAAAATTTGATTTGCGGCGAATCCGAATATTTGCCTACTTCGGGTGCGCGAATCGGATTTTTCCCGATCAAATGTGTATCTGCAGAGCTCCTCTAAGTGTATCTGCAGAATAGAGGAGCTCTGCAGATACACTTTTTGCCGGCTTGGAATTATTCTTATTTTCATCCTACTTCTCTTCTTCTTCTTCTTCTTCTTCTTCTTCATCCTCATCCTCTTCTTCTTCTTCTGAGAGAGGATGAGGATGAGGATGAAGGAGAAGAAGAAGAAGAAGTAGGATGAAAATAAGAATAATTCCAAGCCAGCAAAAAGTGTATCTGCAGAGCTCCTCTATTCTGCAGATCATTGCTCTGCAGATACACTTAGAGGAGCTCTGCAGATACACTTAGAGGAGCTCTGCAGATACACTTTTTGCCGGCTTGGAATTAATCTTATTTTCATCCTACTTCTTCTTCTTCTTCTTCTTCTTCATCCTCATCCTCATCCTCAGAAGAAGAAGAGGATGAGGATGAGGATGAAGAAGAAGAAGAAGAAGTAGGATGAAAATAAGAATAATTCCAAGCCTGGCAAAAAGTGTATCTGCAGAGCTCCTCTAAGTGTATCTGCAGAATGTCATTTATGGAAACAAATAGATACAATGTTTCAACCGCTGTATGGAGTGAATGTCACAGAACTGTCAGAGAAATAGACTATTTCTGACAACAGCGGTTGAAACATTGTATCTATTTGTTTCCATAAATTGATCCATTTTATGGAAACAAATAGATATTACAATGTTTCAACCGCTGTATGGAGTGAATGTCCCAGAACTGTCAGAAATAGACAGAAACTGTCACAGAACTGTCCTTCTTCTCATCCTTCTCCTTCTTCTCATCCTTCTTCTCATCCTTCTTCTCATCCTTCTCCTTCTTCTCATCCTTCTCCTTCTCCTTCTTCTCATCTCATCCTTCTTTCATCCTTCTTCTCATCCTTCTTCTTCTCATCCTTCTCCTTCTTCTCATCCTTCTCCTTCTTCTCATCCTTCTTCTCATCCTTCTTCTCATCCTTCTCCTTCTTCTCATCCTTCTCCTTCTTCTCATCCTTCTCCTTCTTCTCATCCTTCTCCTTCTTCTCATCCTTCTCCTTCTCCTTCTTCTCATCCTTCTCCCTTCTCCTTCTTCTCATCCTTCTCCTTCTCCTTCTTCTCATCCTTCTCCTTCTCCTTCTCCTTCTTCTCATCCTTCTCCTTCTTCTCATCCTTCTCCTTCTTCTCATCCTTCTCCTTCTCCTTCTTCTCATCCTTCTCTCCTTCTCCTTCCTCATCTCCAAGGGCATTTAAATTAAAGGTACAGTGTTCTGCACTAATTTAAAGGCTCTCTGAAGCCTAGAAACCCTTTTTATAAGTTAACTTCGTAGCGAATTAATTCGCATCGAATCGAATTTCTTCCTGAAATTCGCCGAATCAGCCGAATCGAATTTTTGAAAAATTCGCTCATCTCTAATAATAATAAAAATTAATTAAAATATATTAAAATATACAAACTTTATAATTATACAAAAAAATAATAAAAAAATAATAAAAAAAATATAAAATAAAAATCTCCTACAAAAATTTTTTTTTAATCAAAATATCAAAAGATAATAATTATGCCAAATAAAAATCTCCCACACTAATCTCAGTGTAATTTGCACATCTGATATATACAAATGAAGCTTACCTACACCTATAACTCAAATGTACCGCTTCTTTTTATATTACACTGGGCAACAAAGCCCTCCACTATCATATATACTACCTCCATCTAGGTACCACTAGTGATACGTGATATATTAGACATTTTAACACAATCTCAGTAAAATATATACATGTGGTATATAAGAGAGATGAGTCATCCCTCACCTTTATCTCTAATACTCATCTCACATTCACCACACTGAGATCCAGAACCTTCTAAAAAGAGGTCAAACTCCATAAAATGATTTTCCACCATCATATAATGTACTTACGTCTAAATATCACTAATGAAGCATGATAAGTCAAACTCCTTATTTAAACCCCCTGGAGCTAGGCTTCCTAACTCATAGATCCAGAATGATTCTTTTTTACTTATTTCACGTACTAAATTATCTCCCCTCCAATGTGTGAATTATGTTTTGTAATTACCCCAAAATTCTATTTTTTCTATGTCTTGATTATGATATAATTTAAAATGTACTGGTAAATGGTGATATTTATAGCCTATACTGATATTGTGTATATGTTCTTTTACACGTTCTTTGAGACTTCTCTTTGTACGTCCTATATATAAACGATTACATGGACATTTAGGGCGTACACTACGCCCCTACTATCACATGAAATGAATTGATAGATCTTATAGAGAAAACAAAGGAAAATGAGGAAGATTGAACTAAATGTAAAAGAACAAGTAGAAAAAATAGAAACATTTAAAGATCACTCTGATTTTGGTAAATATATGAATGAATTAAATAGGAATGTAAAGAATAAAGATCAGGAGAATAAAAAATAAAAGAAAAGGAAATACCAAAGAGTAGTACAAGATTACAGTTTAAAACAGGTGTATAAATGGCAAAATAAAATTAACAATACAGGCACTGTATCCACAGAAAATACACCTACCAAACTCATGACAAATAGTTGATCTGCAGTGAAAAAGCCAATAGGATTTGCAACACCAAAAAATGCAATCCCAGTTAACAATTATAAAAAAAAACACCCATATCCAAAAAAGAGATGGGACCATCTCAAAATGGTAACAACAGAGAGAATTGGAGACAATATAATCAATACCAATCTCAAAATAGGGAACCACACAGATTCCCCTATCCAGGTTATAAACCATATTTTAATCAAGGATACAGAGGGTGGTGGCTATAGAAGACCCTATGGTCACCCACCCAGGAATACACAGGGATATAGACCCAATTACTATAAATCTCCAGGATATAAACCACAAGGATATCCTCCATCATACAATTATATGTATAATGTTCCAATTCATAATAGTTACTCAACATTGGAGCAACAACAACAAGAGAATCCAATTCCTAACCCTTTTTTTTTTAAAAAAAAAAATAAACTTTATTTGGTTTTATTGTATACACTCATTAACCAACGGTGAAATTATGCAGTAATCATAGCTTGGCAACATGTCGAAGCCGGTGAAAGATTCAAGAAAAATAATTGTACATGAAAACAAATTGTCAAAAC